TGTGGATGTCCAGGGAGAGGAGTGCTTTGCGTACTAAGCACTGTGTGAATGGCACATCAGGCATAGAGCACTCACACGTGGGACGGTCGGCCGTGTGTTCCCCCAGTCATCGAGTGTTGAGTTGAACGCAAAAAAAGAACCTAAAAGTTCAGCATTATCTTTTGTGGCATGGGACAGGGAAGACCCCTCTGGACGGATGGCTGATAGAGGTTCCCTTGGACAGCCTTGGCGAGAGAACAGAATGCTCGTATTCCCGAAGGAAGAGGTTAAAATCATCGAGCATCACAATCTCTGCGGATGGGACCTGCAATCTGTGACGACATTACCGAAATGTCTTGTGTCGAAAACAGATGTCCTTCTTGACGTATACGCAAACTCCAACCCGGAACACAAAGGAGCGTTCTAATTTGTACCTCGGGTAGGAGAGATACTAAGTATCAGCCGGAGAGGACACCTGTGTTTGGTTAGAAAGAGCGAGGCCAGCTTCGTCGTCTCCAGATGGTAGTGGACAGCGTTAAGGTTTGAATGAAGTCGTCCGATAATGCAGAACTACACGATGCTCAGCACAGGATTCTCCGTCACCAGGGATGATAGTCAAAAGTGCACTATTTTTTATTCCCTCACTCTCATGGAATTGCAGAACCACAAGTCGGTGCAACCGCAAGGAACAGGTGCAGGACCAACGGTTTTACTTGCTTTCTTAGGCGAGGGGATGAAACACCTCTAACTCAGGTTGGGAGTATTAGTAGCAACTAAGAATTCCTTAATTTACGCGAACACTATACATTTTTAGGTTTTATCCCGTTTAATTCTACTTATTTTTATTCCCAACGTTTCGGGTCTATGGTCACTGCTTTGCAGCACCCGAAACGTCGGGAATAAAAATACGAGTAAGTAAAATTAAATGCGATCAAATCCGTAAAAGTAGTTTTATTCAATAAAATTTATTGACGGAAAAACCCAATTACTGATTTTTTTTTATTAGATTAGATGATTTTCGATTCCCGGGTTGAATCCAAGAGCAGATGATCCGCAACCGTGTTTACGACCACTAGACCAACAAGCAAAAAAAAAACACAAAGAATGATGAAAAAATTTGGTTTACTCACAGCCCAATATTTGGACGTGACTCTCGTTGAACGATAATAACTTTATAATATTATTTCTATAGTTAAACGTAATGACCAAATGATTTATTTATTCGTGTGGTTTGCAGTGGTGATCGCTCGGATGAGTCACTGGTTATATATAATAAGGCATCGGCACGGAACATACAATTTCGCCTAAGATTTATGAGGTTGTTCGCTCCGACGATAAATGATTACAGTAATTTGACGCCGTTGCCGAAATGAAGTGCTTGCATTTCTCGGTGATAAGTATGTGCACGCGCTTAGTTCTTTTTCATATTATTGTGCGTTGTTCGGTTCCCGGGTATATTGCTAAGAGATCCCGTTTGGTAATTACAAATGTTTGTATCGATTATTGTTTTGATACTTAAAATCTTCTGGTGTAATTATTAACTATTAGAAAATTATCAAACTTAACAGCAACAATTTCTGATTTCTGTTGCAAGTTATCAAAAACCCAGGTAGCGCCACGCTGCAGCTGTATTACGGCAGATGAGAAATACATTTGACCTTAATGCTTTTTGTGACCTAATTTCAACGCTATTAGGAGTCAAACTGATCTCAGCAAATTTGCGTATTATGTTTGAATTTGCACACACGAGGCCGGCGGGTACGATAGGAAGGATTTACCTTAATACACATACATATCTCGATTTTCAGGGACTTTAAAAAAAAGTGGCAACACTTCTCTGAGTCACACAAAGTTATAAAATTGGTTACAGTTTCTTATTCTAGGTGCGATGTCTACCTTTTTTTACTTCATCTTTACTTCATCTGAGTAAACGATATGGTTTCACATACCCCATAAACGCCTAATGACGCCCACCAAGGGACAAAATGGCCATTTTACCATTATATACTGTGCTTTTACGGTGTAATCTTAGTGCAATAAAATACGAATCCGCGCACGCACTCACACTCGCACACGCGCACGCACGCGCGCACGCACGCGTACACTCACACCCATCATGATCATCAAATTGTACTCGAGTACTGTTTTACATCAGTTTAAGTGGATTGAATTAACGTTAAAATTTTATGTTGTTAAATTATATGCGAAGATACTGATTCTAAGCTGGACGCTACAGATCAATAATAATTATCGCGATTCGAATTAAGAACCCTATCACAATTATTTATTAAACGCATCTCATTGGATCTTACACTTTTAATACGAATCACTTAAATACCGAAACAAACAATTGCAATTAACTATGTAGTGTCATCGGGAGAGTTCGATATATACCAAGACCAAATTTTGGTCTACATACCTGATCTTCCTTGTATGGCATAAATGTCTCTGATAGTTGTTTATTATACCTAATTATTTGTTTTGTAAGTGATTTGCAACAAACAATCTAATATATAAAAACAAATATTTGTTTGTTGGTATTTTATGCGTTGCCATAGCGTTTAAAACTTTTAAAAACTTTGTCAACATATTGCTTGCACTTCCGTGAAGATCGAATACTGTTGGACCCGGTAGGTGGCGCTGTTGTAGAATCCAGATATCACCCGTGGGTGCGAAGGCGGGGCTGATCGCTAGTTTACTTTTAAATTTAGAATCAAAGATTGACTGTATTTCTCGGAATTTCTATTGATTCCAAACTCAGTTGGGGAGCACATATTGATAAACTACGAGGGCGGCACTGAAAATTTCGGGAATCAAGGAAGTGACACAACATTACTATTTAAAAATGTATTTATTGCTTTTCGAAGTATTCTCCGCGAAATTTGACACATTTTTCCATACGATGGAACCAATCATTGAAGCAACCATTCCATTCGGAAGTTGGGGTCTCCAAAATGGCCGTTTTGTAGGCGTCCACAGCTTCTTCAGGTGATGAAAATCTCTGTCCTCGCAATTTATTCTTTATTTTAGGGAAAGTATAGAAATCATTAGGGCTTAGGTCGGGGCTGTACGGCGGATGGTCTGATAATTCTATGTTTTCTTGCTCTCAAAACTCTTTTGTTCTGTGCGCGGTGTGAGAACTCGCATTGTCGTGATGGAGGATGCAGGTTGCAGCTCTCTTTACGGAGTTCAGAAACGACCTGTGGCAAACAAATGCTAGCATACCATTCTGCATTAACCGTTTTTTGTCCCTCAAGAGGAATAGTCGTAACATGGCCGGTTTTGGAGACAAACGTGACCACCATTTTTTTTTTTTGCAACACTCCGTGAACGAACAATTTTTGTTGGCTTTAACTCATTTTCGAACACCCAAACTCGTGACTGGTTTTTTGTTTCGGGTTCGTACGCGTATATCCAGGATTCGTCACCTGATACGATGTTGTATACAGCATTTGAGGATCCTGCGTGGAATCTTTCGAGAGTTCTGACGCACCAAGTAACGCGAGCCGCTTTTTTGCTCTTCACAGAGCGAATGCGGTATCCATCGGGAAAACAACTTTTTTTACACCTAATTGTTCATGCAAGATTATTTGTATTTGACTCATGCCAATGTCTAAAGTTGCCTGAATTTCGCGGTATGTCACATGTCGATCTTCCTCAATCAGCTTACACACAGCATCAACGTTTTCTTGAGTGACTGCCGTTTTTGGACGACCTTGACGGGGATCATCACTGAGCTTGACTCGTCCACGTTGAAATTCAGCAAACCTGCGATAAATTGTGGTTTTGGATGGGGCTTCATCACCAAATGCAGAAATCATCCGGTCAACACACTGTTTTTGTGTTAAACCACTTCGAAAGTCATAATAAATCATCGCTCTTGAATTTTCTCGATTCAATTCCATTTTCTCAACGACTAAACAAGTTAGACATAACCTTGTGACAAGACCGAGAATCTTTTTTAAATAAATAAATGGTATTCTATTTTTAAAACCAAGGAGTTTTCAATTAAAAAGATTTTAATATGACAGGAACAGTGGAAATATTCCATTCCCGATACTTTTAGTGGAGCCTACGTATCTTCGAAATTATTTTCTGCAATCTGCGCTGTTAAACGTCTTAGAAAGCGTACATCAGATGATGCAATAACTAAATTATTCTCCTTAAATTATGCCACAGTATCATGTCCTATGATGTATTACTGTTCAGATCTGTAGCTTGACTGGAAATTATATTTAACGCTATGCGAAATTTTCAAGAAGGCCTTAGACACTCCCGTCAACGTTTATTTTTGAGTTTTTAAATATATTGACGATAACATGGAAATAATACCGTGAATACCGCAGTATCTTGCCGGTTCTTTTATACGAAAATCTTGTTTTTGCAAACCGCTGTAGATTTCGCTTTATAGAAGCTTACATTAAACTGACTGAATACGCATAAAATTTATTTCATTCAGTACACACGTTTTAGTAGTATTTACCTTTTAAAGTAATCTTTTTGTTCGTACCATGTAACAGAGAGCAGCCATAAGTATTTACATGAATAAAGCTTGTGTGGTTCTCACATTATCTTTAGAATTAAAAGGCAAGTGTAAAGAAAATATGGCTCCAAGGCAGAAATACTTTGAAATTTCTTCTTCCACCATTGCTGGTTGAACGAGAACTAATGCTATAAATATTAGCTATAAAGCTACATTTCATTATGTATCGTGAAATCCGTTTCATGATATCAAATTTCACAAAAATCGAAATAACTTGCGATTCGCATCGCGAGTTTTGAATATCACACACTATATCCGTTATAGCCTATTAAAGTCCACTGCTGAATTTTTTTATTTGTTATTAAGGAGACCATCTCCTTATTTATTTACCTCTCTTGCCTCTTACGACACCCACGAGACGATATGGGGTAGTGGATATTTTTACATCGCTATTACACGATATGTATCGCACACTATAACATCAATAAAATAAATCCAAATATCGTGATAATTGTCACGCCTGTGGCTTACGCCAAAGATGCAAGGTTATTCCTAGTTAATACCCAGTGCATTAACTAATATGTGACTAATTTTTTATTTATTTTTTATAAATATGAAGACGATCTGTCCTTGTGTAAAAAAACGAGACTTTTCATTTTAAAACACGTAATTATTGTTTTGTAATATCGTCAACAAATTACCCACGGCTTGCGAAATGTCTGGTTTTTTGCTCAGTATAGTCTATTAAAAGCATTATCGCTACGGAATTATTTAATCATAAGCTTTCAAATCTCTTTTCAATCAGAATTAGCTAAGACAACTTTGCATGTCTAAATGTTTTTGCTGTAATCAATTACCGTTTTGTTCTTCCTGGAATTTTTTAATCGTTATCTTTGAAAAATTGACATCTTTATCTGAGAGTTGTGTTTTTGTTCGTTGTGTTGTATGTTGCTGTAAAAAAAGAAACGTATATAAAACGAAACGCGTGTCTTTTGTCCAATGACGTTGAGGTTAGTGACGTGCCGACCGGTTGAGTTTGTTCATTAGACCATATATATATATATATATATTGTATATTTGATCTGCACATAGAAATAAAACTGCATTGTCTGCCAGAAAACCAAAATAACTGGCGTCTATTAAGCTAAGGGCGCGTCTATTAATTATTTGCAAGACATCAACAACCATTTTTTGTCTCCCTGTCTGTCTGTCTGTGTGTCCGCGTTAATCTTGGAATGACTGAACCGATTCTGATAAAATTTTCCAAACAAATAGAGAGCAACGCCAGGGGGGATCAATGCTATAATTTAAACGAAAAACTTAAACATTTTTTTGTAAAACGATAAATTGATGAAATAAATAGTCTTTTGACTATCACAAATCTACCTAACGCCACGTTAATAGTAGCTATCCAGGCGAAGCAATGCAACACTAACGAGCTGCCTCCACATCATACGAAATCTTATCGTAGAAATTGAGTAAAAATTTACAAATTTATTAATTTAGTGATATTTATAACTAGGGCAATGGAACAGGCCTAATGGGTGTCAGATATAAAATTATAGAAAGAATAAACTAAGACGACGTTATCAGTGTAGTATGTACGTGATTCGAAAGAGCTCATGTGTTAGTAAACATTTTTCATAACATTGCCGTTAGGGGTAAAGCTATGTAGATGAAAGATAAATTTGACTTTAATGTTCTTTACGTCTAATTTCAATGCTCCTCCCAGTCGAAGCAATTTCAGCGAATTCGCGCGATCCGTTTAAATTTGCATACACGAGCCGGTGGAGCAATTATAAATCCCCGCTAGTTTCATCAGTGGTCGAGATGTTCTCGATCTCGATGTAATTAGTTTCACTTTACACTTTGAGTTCACTGCACTGCACTTTGTAGGATTAAATTATTTGCAAGTCGAGCAAATAGATCACTTACCTCAATGTTGCCAAGAATTAATATGAACATTTAAAAATAAAGCTACGAATAATCTCGAACAGTATTTAGGAATTTTAACGCGTTTTTTGTACTTATACTTTATAATTGACATAGAAAGCTTGCTAACATATTCATTAAAGCAAGATGATGTTCAAGTCATCTTGTTTTATTGAATATGTTATTTAAATTTTGAACGTTTTGTTTTACTTCAAAAGATTATACCCAACCACCGCTAATTATGTTACACTACTAATGATCTTACACGTCTTGTTACCATTTCGGCTGAACGCAATAGCCGAAACATTAGAATTCAATTGAGGTCTTAATTAAACGTGAGATAAGATGTTAGTATGTTTCAATAATTAATCAATAGCTATGAATCCGAAACTGTCGTAAATTACTGCTGTTTATTTTTATAGCTTTTATTTACGAGTACAAGATTTCTATATTACACTTGTACCTACCTATAAGTAAATGTCTAAAACAAATCTAAGAAATAGCTTTCACTGTTTTTAATCGTCACACGACGATGTATTATATCGTAGATTTTTTTACTTGGAATGCAAGTAATAGTAAATTTTTATGTGTGATACATAAACAATTTACTATAACTTGCATTCCAAGGCTAAGCGTTTGCTGTAAATTTTACTGTACACGTGCAATCTGTTATAAACAAAAAAAAAACATCTATCCGTATCTGCTTACCTCCTGTTTATTAATTTATTTATTTTACTCCTGTAACATTTATATGAATTTTTTTCTCTTTTCTTAAAAAGCGTTAACCCACACTAGAATTTTTTCCTGCATCGGTAGTTTAGTTTACGTACATGAATTTCACATTTTACATTTTCGATTAAGTTTAGCCCAAATAAATAATTGTTCCTTGCGGGATTCGAACCCGCGGCCCTCTGCGCCGCAACTCATTGCTAAGCTTTCCGGAGCCGTCAAAGATTTAAGCACTAAGATTTTTTACTTAAAATCTGACTAAGTTTATGTGAGTTTATATTTTCAGGAAATACATTACCTATATCTTATGCTATTATTATAAATGCGAAAGTGTGTTTTTTTATCTTTCTTACATGCAACAACGGAGTAACGGATCGACATTATTATTTGCATTGCATACATTTTATGGGCCGGAGAGCGACACAACCTACTTTTTCTTTACATCCCAGAGAAATTCACGATTCCTGTGGGATAGATCCTGCAGCGTAATTTTGTAATTACCTCTTCATGCGAAAATGGCTGAATGGATTTTGATGAAATGAAGTATGAAGATGCCTTAGGTCTTGCTGTATATATAAAAAATGTAGGAATTATTATTGTTCGACTGTTTTGATATTAATTGATACTTGTATCTTGTTCAGTCGAGTTTCTGCAACAATATTATCTTGTTGTGAAACACTGGCGTGTGAAAAATAGTCGTGCTGCTTTCCAGAAACTGGGAGAATTGAATTTGTAGAAACTAATTGTTCACAAATGCCGTGGGCTTATTTGCTTTTAGTTACGACAAATACTGCAAAGTAATTTGAACTATAACTACATTGTATTTATACGTTATAATAATAATAATAATAATAACTCGAACTCGAACGGCTACGACGTGAGGCTGTTCCCTCGTCGGATGAGAATGCTACGGCTGAGGATGCGGCGCCACAAATGGTAGAGCAACCCGCAAACGTGAATACCCCAGTTGTGGTTGATTCAAACGATGATGGAACAGTCGCCCAGGAACTGGAATTAGAGCATATGAGGAGTACATTGGAAGAGGCGATTGTGGAAACGCGCAGTACGCCTCTCAAAAATCGACCGCGACTTCCCCGCATAGCCCTAAAGAAAAGGTTTCCACGGCTGGACGCGCTACTGGCCATAGAAGCGCTATCCCAGCATGGAGAAGAAGAATTGAGGAACGTATCGCAAAGGCTAGAGCTCTCATCGGCAGACTGATATGCTTCAGATCAGGCAACAACAGGCCAAGAATTGTGCGCACCGTCAGGATGGCGTTTGCTGGGACAAATGTCAGTTTGTCCCAGCCGGATATAACGCAAAAACTGACGGAGCGCATAGACGATCTGAAGCAGAGAATCGCTGCTTGGGGAAAGCGGATTCGGCGATATACCGAGAGGTCGACACGGTTCAACCAGAATCGTCTCTTCCAGAGTGATCAGAAGAGGCTCTATGAATCATTGGAGCGACCAATGGTAAGTGGAACGGGTCCAGCACCGAATCAGGCCGACACTGTAGCATTCTGGCGCGGCCTGTGGTCAGAGCCCGTAAACCACAGCGAGGGCCCTTGGACGGAAGTTGTGGCGAGTCAGTGTGCGGGTATTACGCCCATGGACCCCGTCATCATAACGCCGGATGACGTAGCTGAGGCGGTCCGTAGGGCCCCGAACTGGAAAAGTCCGGGGCTTGACGGGCTGCATCACTACTAGCTGAAGGGGTTCATGGTGTGTCACTCTGTGCTCGCCCGACAGTTTCAAGAGGCTCTCAACCAGAAGTCGCTCCCAAGCCTCTTCACTACTGGGATCACTCATTTGGTTCCTAAAGACCAGGGTACCACAGACCCGAGCAAATACCGCCCCATCACGTGTCTACCGACCATATACAAGACACTAACATCCATTTTGAGCGCGAGAATCACTTGTCACTTGGACTCAAATCAGGTGATGTCGCGCGCTCAAAATGGATGTCGGGGCGGTGGTCGTGGAACCAAGGAACCACTCCTCATTGACGCGGTCATTGGCAAAGTGGTGAAACGCAACCGTCGGAACTTCTCCGCCGCCTGGATAGACTACAGAAAGGCATTCGACTCGGTGCCCCATACATGGCTAAAGAGAGTCCTCGAGGTGTACAAAATAGACTGTACAGTTAGAGACTTCCTCGAGCAGTGTATGGGGCAGTGGAGTACGATCCTTTGTCATCTGGGCGAGCGGATGATGGCTGCGGAGAACCACATAAGGATAAGAAGGGGTATCTTCCAGGGCGATTGTCTGAGTCCAATCTGGTTCTGCCTCTCTCTGAACCCTCTCAGTACCTTACTGGAGGGCTCCGGGAGGGGATTTCAGCTACGGAAAGGAGGGACAAAAGTGACCCACCTTTTCTATATGGATGACCTCAAGTTATTCGCCTCCAGTCGCTCCCATCTTATGGAATTGCTAAACATCACTTGTGAATTTAGCAATTCCATTGGAATGGAGCTTGGGACGGATAAGTGTGCGGTCCTCCATGTTGAAAGGGGAAGGGTTGCTAACTCTGAGGGGCGTAGACTTATCTATGCCCGTCAACTTAAGGACCCTTTCCGAGGCTACATACCGATACCTGGGTATGTCACAAACTTGTATCATAACTTATAAACATCAGTTTGCGACGTGTTTTATGCACGCTTGACCAAAGTGCTTAACAGCCTTTTGTCCGGTGTGAAAAAGGCACACGCATATAACGGCTGCGTCATGCCTGTCCTCATGTATACCTTTGGCATACTCAGGTGGACTCAGACTGAACTTAACGCCCTGGATATAAAAGTCCGCACTACCATGACGTCCCATAGGATGCATCATCCGAGATCGTCGGTAATGAGGCTGTACTTGTCGCAGAAGCATGGTGGTCGTGGCTTCTTGAGCGCGCTCACCATGCATAATCGCGAAGTGTGCAGCCTACGTGATTACTTCCTGGCGAGATCGGATGATCCATTCTATAAAGACGTCATTTCTTGTGATAAAGGACTTACCACTCTATCCTTAGCCAACGAGCAATGGCAAGACCCGGCAGTGCAGAGCATTTCCGACCGGGAGACCGTATGGAAGGAGAAGGAGCTCCACGGGAGGTTCTACAAGGCTCTACATGAGCCTTTCGTAGACACAGTAGCCTCCCTCCACTGGCTACGCTTTGGTGATCTCTTCGGGGGAAACCGAGGGTTTTGTCTGTGCAGTACAGGATCAGGTTATTAAGACCAACAACTATCGGAGATACATCCTAAAGGATGGCACCGTCGACATCTGTCGAGCTTGTCGCCATCCCGGTGAGTCACTTCGGCATGTTATCTCCGGTTGTTCGGCGCTTTCTAACTCTGAGTACTTGCACAGGCACAACCTAGTAGCTAGAATTCTACACCAGGAGCTCGCTCTGAAATACGGTCTCGTGGATCGAAAATTGCCGTATTACAAGTACTTGCCGGAAGCCGTGCTCGAAAATGATCGCGCCAGGCTCTATTGGGACCGGGCCATCATCACAGACAGGACTATTCTTGCGAATAAGCCTGATATTGTGCTAATGGACCGGGCACAGTCAAGGATATTTTTGGTCGACATTACCATTCCGTATGACGAGAACCTCGTGAAAGCCGAAACAGACAAGCAAACAAAATATCTGGACCTGGCTCACGAGGTGACCGACATGTGGGGTGGGCTGCCGACCGAAATTATTCCTGTAGTCGTCTCTGCAAACGGGCTAATCCCAGTCAGCCTCTCGGGTCATCTGAGGCGGCTGGGACTACGTGGCGGACCGCTCCAGGTTCAAATGCAGAAGGCGGTGCTCCTCGATACCGCCCGCATCGTCCGCCGGTTTCTTTCCCTTTCCCCCTAACCCTCGGCCGTTTGGTCTCCCCTGCCGAGGGCCTCCATCTGGTTGGGCTTTTATTTATTTATGTACTTTTATATTTATTTTATGTTATTGATATTTATGTATATTTATCTTTTCATTTTCATTTATAATTATATATTTATAGAACCCAACCAGATGAGAAAACTATATAGATACCCCATAATAATAACATTCGTACGTAGGTTACAATGAAATATTTGTTGTATAAATTATATTTTGGACATTAAACCTCATATCATGCCGACGATTTATTTCCTATTTTATTTATTTAGAGGTTACATTTTTTTTTATTTGGTTTAAATAAAAAAGAAATGTAACCTCGAAATAAATAAAATTTTGATTAACAGGACAGTATGTACCATGTTCAGATGAGCTTGTTGGCATCTAGAAAATTTGGTATATTCTTCTTTTGTTGTAAAATTTATTTTATTAAAAACATCTCATGGTATGTGGCTACTGCAACCCAGGGACACTCGCAATCGACTTGAAATAAAGATGGTTGCAGAAATATCGTTACCTCTGAGGACTAAGATGGATTTTTTTTATACTTACTTTTGGTGTGACAAACGAGCACACAATCCATAAGTGGACGCAGTGGCCCATAAACATCTACATTTATCTACAATTAAGAATCTAAATGTAGATGCGTTGTCACCCCCGAGGACTAAGACGGAATGCTTCGTTTCCAGTAAAAAGGGTCTCCGATCATCTGTGGCGACTGAGACTTCAGATTATAACCAGACGAGAATACTACAAGAACATCCCACAATAACTAATAACAAATATTTATTTCTTGTTTGTTACTTTATAAGATTAAATCTTTATAACATAAATTTGTGAACAAGTAAAACTTGAGTTCGTGATTTATGTGGCTCACCTTATCGTGCACTACTTCCCGCCAGTAATTTATCTGCTCCGGTATGAATAGCATTGCAAATGGTAGTGCTCTCTTTAAAGAAGACGAGATCGGATCAAAACATAGGGTACCATATGGCACTGTTTTACTCTCTTTTGTTTAACTTTGTTTTTTTTTCTTACGAAGTTACTACTTATTTTGGTAATGTGACTGACTACGTCACATGGAATAACGCTGCCACGATCTTTCTTCTTTTAACGAATATTCTAATGTAGACCATTTCAGTAAAAAATTTCTGCCAGCGCTAAACGCTATGCACGCTTTTATCTTTAAACTTGTTACAGTTAACTATCTTGTGTGGTTTTCTATCGCTATTTTGAGTGGTGCATCCATTTTACTTGCCTGCAATCAATTTCATTTCCGATACGATCCCTACAGCCGTCTTTCACATGTCGCATGTTTATCGCTTATCATTTATTGTAATACTTGTAGAGAAATAATTAAAATATACAAATATCACTTTGTACTTCATGATAAAAAAATTACAGAATATCAAATTAAAATAAACACAGTCTTTAATTAAGTGGCATATTGGATAAAAAAACACTTGAATCACGAAGCACGGATGAGCCCAAATTAGCAATGTTTGGCGGGAATCATTTTGAAGACGATCGTAATTATTTTCAGCCATTAACAATTCACATAATAATATAGAAAGCTTTATAGTAGGTACCATTAATCACCACGTATAGCAGACGAATTGCCCATTACAGTTTCACTTTACCTCATTCCACCCCATCCCATCTTATTTTATTTATACCCAGACGATAATAGACTCTTCAGATTGACAGTTCAATTACATATTAAGTTTCTACTCAATTACTCTGAGCATATCATCATTATGTTTCTCAGTGCCATTAAAATTCAATTAAGAAGTAAACGTAAGAATATTAACGCACCAGGCTACGTGGCTGTGGGTTTTGGTTCTGCAGGCAACATTAACGGTCGTGTTAGCCACACCGCCGTCTTTGCTGCCCGAAAGATCTCTTACTAAGTCATTAGTGACGTCGGTATGATATGAAGCGTCTTAAATATTCTGTTTTTTATGATATCGTTTATGTCTAATAAAAATATATTTGTTATATTTTGTGCAATGTTTTTATAAAAAAAAAACATCAATAAAAAGTTGTAATTTAAAAACAAAATTTTATTTAATATTTGATCACATTTTCGCCATTTAGTATGTTACTGGATGTTCCTAATTATTTCTGTACTCACAGATACAATAGCATAACATGCGCGATTTATTTAATAGTCTGCTAAAAATTACAAGAGTAATAGGTACTGCTTGTTTTTACAAATTCGTTTAGATTTATTGTTGCACACGTTTTTGCTGTAAAGCTGTTTAAAGCTGACAAATTCGTTGATATATCACATTACGTAATGTACTTATTATATCATCTTTCATGTTATTATATTGTTATTATATTGTTATAGAGTATCTATCTCACACAGGAATAGGTATAAAAATCAAAGGTGGAAAAATAGATGGCGAACCATGTCAAAAGTAACAAATAGCTTTACTTCGCCCGATTGTAACTAGTTAAAGTGAAATATGTTAGTCAAAAATAAACATAAAGATATACTAAAAGCAGAACAGGACAGGCGTTTATTGTCACAATAATGATGTCACACGTCTAATATAGTTTGTCTACTTAGGAAGATAACGCAGCCGTCGGTTATTAACCCTTCCACGCGTCTCTTTGTGCCGGCTGGGGCATCGCATGATAGAATACAATGTGAGCATTCAGCACTGAGTCTATTTGAAAGCTAAAAGAACAAAATACTCCAACGGTGCCGCAGGAGGGTTCATGGCCTCGGCTTTTGTGCATGTTTCGATAGATTTATGACTCGCAACTGCGATCCACAATGACGCAACGAGAGCGTTTTCGGCAGATAAGCTTTTCGAGCAACGAC